TACTTTTCCGCTCTATTGTATGGTTAGAATTTGTCATATACCCTGATACATTTTTAATTTCCTCAGGTTTCCCATATCTGAGTAACTAAAATTTCTCCTCGTTGAACTTCATATTGTTTTAAGCGGCCCATTCGAAGATTTGGTTGATATCCGCTTGGAGTCTCGCAGTGTCTTCAATGGAGGTCACCGCCATGGTAATCCAGGTGTCATCTGCAAAGAAAGACATGGAGCTATGGCGTACATGTCTGTCTGTGTCAGAAATGAGGATGAGGAATAGAATGGGAGCAAGTACTGTGCCTTCTGGAACAGAGATTTTTACTGTGGCTGCCTGGGACTTTACTCTGTTTACTATTACTCTTTGTGTTCTATTTATCAGGAAGTTATAGATGCATCTACCAACTTTTTCTGTTATTCCTCTATCATGCATTTTATGTGCTATTACACCATGGTCACACTTGTCGAAAGCTTTTGCAAAGTCTGTGTATACTACATCTGTATTTTGTTTATCCTCTGCAGCATCCAGGACCTTGTCATAGTGGTCCAGTAGCTAGGACAGGCAGGAGCGACCTGCTTTAAACCCGTGTTGCCCTGGGTTGTGTAATTGATGGGTATCTAGGTGGTTGGTGATCTTGCTTATTAGAACCCTTTCAAAGATTTTTATGATATGGGATGTTAGTGCTATCGGTCTGTAGTTCCTTGCAACTGCTTTACTGCCACCTTTGTAGAGTGGGACTATGTTGTTTTCAGTGTGTGTGGGATGACCCCTGTGTCCATGCTCCCTCTCCATAAAATGCTGAAGGCATGCAATAGGGGCTTCTTTGCAATTCTTGATGAACACGGAGTTCCATGAGTCTGGGCCTGGGGCAGAGTGCATGGGCATGTCATATATTGTCCCTTCAAAGTCTTGTGGAGTTAGGATAATATCCAAGATTTTTGAGATGATCAAATTTTGGGTTTCGTTCATAAAGAATTCATTTGGGTTGTCGACCCTTAGTCTGAGCAGTGGCTCGCTGAACACTGGGTCATATTGGAACTTTAGTATCTCACTCATTTCTTGGCTGTCATCTGTGTATGTCCCATCCCTCCTAAGCCGGGGCCCAATACTGGATGTTGTTTTTCCCTTAGATTTGGCATAAGAGAAGAAGTATTTTGGGTTTTATTCAATTTCCTTTATGGCTTTTAGTTCTTCCTGTGATTCTTGCCACCTGTAAGATTCCTTCAGCTTAAGTTCAATACATATTTGCAATTTCCTTGACTAGTGCCTCCCTTTGTATTTCAGATATATTGACCACACTCAGCAGCTCTGTGACTCTTCGCCTTCGTCTGTATAGGGAGCGTCTCTCTCTAGTTTACATCTTCTCTTTATTTTTCTTAATGGAATGTGTCTTGAGCAGATCTCAAGAACTACAGAATTCACTTTTTTCAATGCAAATGCTCGGATCTCTGTTGTTTAGGATATCTTCCCAGCTTGTTTCATTTAGGACATGGTTTACTTGATCCCATTGTACGTTTTTGTTATTGAAATTGAATTTCGTGAAGAGACCATGACTACTCACATTTTCCTGGTCAGGAGCCCTGTGTATACATGTCTGTACCTTTATTATGTTGTGATCTGAGTGTGTTGTCTTTGATACAGTTATATTATGTATCAGATCGTCGTTGTTAGTGAAGATGAGGTCCAGCATATTTTCTAGTCTTGTAGGCTCTACTATTTGCTGTTTTAAAGTGAATTTTGTGCAGAGATTTAATAGTTCGTGTGTGCGTGTGTGAGTTTTCATCTGAGCTGCCTTCTGGGGTGATCTCTGCTAAAACATTGTTTGCTATACTCCTCCATTTTAGGTATCTCAAGTTGAAATCTCCTAGTAGTAAGATGTTTGGGGCAGGAGTTGGGAGATTTTCTAGACAGTGGTCAGTTTTCACAAGCTGCTCCTGGAATTGCTGGGAAGTTGCATCTGGAGGCTTGTATACAACCACAATGACAAGGTTTTGGTTTTCAGTCTTTACCACCAAAACTTCAACTACATCATTTGAGGTGTTTAGTAGTTCTGTGCAAATGAGCGACTCTGTGATGTACAGGCCAACCCTCCCTTGTTGCATGTTTAGTCTGTCGCATCGGACTAGGTTATAACCTGGGATCCATATTTTGTTGTTATAATGATCCTTTATGTGGGTCTCTGTGAATGCTGCAAACATTGCATTTGACTCTGTGAGCAGTCCCTTGTAATCAGTCCCTCAGCCTGGAGTTGATGTAATCAGACCATCTTCGTGCATATACTGTATTCTTTTCAAGATTGATGATGGACTGATTACAATGACTTCAGGCTGAGGGACTGATTACCTCAAACTCTATCTGATCTTCACCATTCTTGTTCATTTAGGACTGATAAAGCCAGTGCATGGCAAAACCTTTCCTCAGTAAAGATACCCAAGTGTTGTATGTGTGTCTAATTCATCAACTTGTTGGTTCTCTGAACCATTTATCTACAAGCTTAATGTTGTTAGATTTTGTGCATCTTCTGGTTCACTTCAAACTTTTAATACTGATGTATGTTCCTCAAAGGAAGCTGCACCTTAATTTTGGGTTGTGCAAGTTTTAATTTGCCAATTTTATTAAACAATTTGCTTTTTGTGAAATAGCTGGAGAATATTTTCCCATCAGAAATAAGTCAATGTTTGATGATATTAGGTTATCCTAGGTGAAATCTGCACGCTATATTTTTTACGTATCCATAACATGTTGCATCAAGATCATTGCAAAAAAGTTTGAATGTTATGCACCCAAAACCTAAATAAATTTATTTAAATCTTAAATGCTGGTCAATCTTAGAGAAAAATTTTGATTGTCCTTGGCCTATTTGGGTCCCAGTTTGACCTTTTGTATGGAAGACATTGGATATATTGAAATAGTGTTTTTAATGGGATATTTTCTGGATCACTTCTTTCCAGCCCAGCACTACCAACTGTGCTACAGAGGTTGATAAGTTCTACTCTAACCAGGGAAAGCAGTGACCTGCACTAACCTCTCCAGCGAAGAGCATTTCCTGGTTGGGGAAGTGCAGCTGGTAGGGGCTGGGCTAGAGATCTGAGGATTGACGGATCACGGGATCATCTTGGCATTAAATTGAGATATGTAGCATACCTGAAGGATGTTTCTGGGAGTCAGTGGCTCCTTCAGCCCTATCCCAAACCAGGCCTCCTGGTAGATCAAGGCCTGATCAACTGGGCTGTTATTGCTGGTCTCACACAGTCCAGTGGATGAATCACAGCCCAGCTGATCAGGAACTGATTTGAGGAACTTGTCATGTTCCCACTTGAAGACAGCCAGAGGATGCTAGTAATTCTCCTTGTGCACAAAGGAAGAATGTTGAAAAGTTGAGGACCTTTAACAATCAGTGAGTTCTTTTTTAGTGTGCTCATATAAACCGAGTCTTCTAGTGGGCAACTGACAACATTATGATGTTCAATGAGAAAAAATTTCAGTTACCGCATCACAGATAAATGGAGGAAATAAAAACAAGGTCGGGATAAACGACAAACTCAAACCACTCAGTAGAACATAAACCACGTGCAAGAGACCTGGGAGTGATAATGTCAGAAGGTTTCACATTTAAGGAGCATAATAATATTGCAACTGCAAGAAAATGATAGGTTGAATAATTGAAACCTTCAAAACAAAGAAATGCCAAGCCAATGATGATACTCTTTAGATCATTCATTCTCTCTAGATTGGAATATTGTTCTGCCCTTCAAGGCAGGCAAAAATTGCTGAGCTAGAAAATGTACAGAGAACCCTCAGTCAAGCACCTAAATTGCTGGTAGCACTTAAGTCTCAAGAACTGTACATCTTAGAATATAGATGAGAAAGATGCATCATAATCTGTTCCTGAAAGGCACTGGAGGGATTGGCACCAAACCTGCACACCGAAATTACTACTTATAAATACAAGAGGTTTGGCAGATGGTGCCAGAGACTTTAAATGAAAAGCAGAGGAGAGATGAGTAGACAGAGAAAACACAATAAGTTAAAGGGACTACAACTCTTCAACAGCCTCCCTTCATGTATAAGGGGGATGTCAGCAAACCATTAGCTGTCTTCAAAAGGGAACTCGGCAGATTCCTCAAAACAATTCCTGATCTGCTGTGTTGTGGAGCATGCTCTTTACTGCTGGTGGCAGGCACTGCCAGCTTGATCAATCAGGCCAGCACCAGGTAGCATGGTCTGGGACTGGGCCATGGGAGCAGTGACCTCCAGAGGCAATCCCAGGTACTTGTTGCACCCCTGATTTTAATTGGAGGCACTTCCCAGCATCTGCCAAGTCTTTTTGTTTTCATAGAGTGATTTCTGTGTGGAGGTCTGGGATCAGATGCTCCAGGATTTTCCAGGTGTAAAGTATAATCTACTGTACCTTTCTTGCCTACATTCCAGGGAATAGAGTTGAAATGTATATTCTTATTATTATTATTATTATTATTATTATTATTATTATTATTCTTATGTATTATTATTATTATGTATTATTATTAAATACAGGTTGACCATCACTAATCTGGCATCATTGGGACCTGTAGTGTGCCGGATTAGTGAGTTTGCCGGATTACAGAGTTGTTAGGTTAGAATACACTTAATTAACCTATCAATACCTAGAGACTTTCTGCTACATCTTCCTCATTTTCATCACTGCTTTCTCCTCCACTGGCTTGCTGCTGTAGATTTACAACCATCTGCCAATTAGAGTCAGTATAATGAAATTTGAGTCAGTATAATGATGCAATTTGAAATTATGCTAGCCAAAATTAGTGCCGGACTACCGATGGAACTGGATAACCGATTGCCAGATTAGTGATGGCCGACTTGTACCTTTTAATTATCATTAGTCAGTAAAGTGGATTAACTGCAGTCTTTCGTTGTTTGAGTGTCTTCCAGGCATTGTACCCACCTGTGGGAAAAATAACTGTTAATGTATTCATTCTTTAGTGCTATTTTTTTTTTCCTCCTACAGAACCTGCAGGGTCAGAAGTAGAGCCAGCCATGCCAGCAGTTCATCAGACAACAAGAGAGGAGAGCCATGTCTCCTCTAGCACCTCATCAACAACAGTGTTCCAGAAGAGCACTGTCATGGAGTCTAGCCACTTTACCAAAGTGGTGTCAGATGGTACCACTGATGAGAAGAGACATAGCATGGCTGCCACCTCCACCTCTCATGTTCAGAAGGCTACAGGGCAGCCAACTGTCGAGGTGAATATAATGCAGTATTTCACTAATATTAGTCTATTGATTTTTCAATAAATTTGTCATAATTTTATATTAATACCTGTGATTTCGTAGAATTACATAGAATAAAAGGAGGTAAAGTAGTTGGAACTGATGGGATCATGACAGAAATGTTAAAAGCTTGGGGAGATATAGTATTGGAATGGTTGGTATTTTTGTTTAATACACGTAAATGTAAGAAAGAAGGGAAGGTACCTAGGGATTGGCAGAGAGCATGTATAATTCCTTTATGTAAAGGGAAGGGGGACAAAAGAGATTGCCCTATCTTAGCACCTCTGCAAAAACAGTGATTATGTATGAATAGTGGTGAAAGTGTTGAATGATGATGAAAGTTTTTTTCCTTTCTTTCTTCTTGGGTCACCCTGCCTCGGTGGGAAACGGCCGACATGTTAAAAAAAAAAACAACTATGATTTCACTATCTGTGTTTCACTTACTGTGACTGTACATATTTATGTCAGGTCCATGGTGCCCACTTGCAGGAGATGAGACAGGAGGGAACTGCTCCACCAGTAATCTGTGACAAGGTAATTTTTTTTATTTTGACCTGTTTATCAGGCTGAGTTTTAAACAGTAAGCAGTGCTCGTTATAAAATTACATAGAAACGTGTCTTCAACAAAAAGTAATGCTAGTTATAAAACTGCATAAAAATGCAAGCTAGTTTTTAAATAGCAGGCTGTGCTAGTTATTAAAACTCAGGATGATCTTTAAACAGCAGGATGTGTTATAGTTTTTTATGAAGTTATAAGACTTAATAAAAAATTAATCTTGAAATAAAAAATTAATCTTGAGGTGTATTTACATTAACAGTCCTCATGTAATTGACCTAGGATTCCATGGTAAAAAGTGTTGGGCCTACAAATAAAAAATGTTCATCACTCATGTGATACATTTATTCATTATTTTTAACCCCTTGACTCTCTCAACCCCAAATCTTGAGGTGTCTCCTGGTATCACAAAATTAAAAAAAAAAAAAAAATTTTCTTATGAAATGATAGAGAATCTTTCCCGATTGTAATGACACCAAAAGCACAAAATTTGATAGAAAACTGACGGAATTATGCTCTCACGAAGTTAGCGACCTCAGCGATATTTATGAATCAGCGATTTCGCCCACTTTGAGCCCTATTTTCGGCTAATTCCATTGTTCCAGTCGACCAAACTCATAACTATTTCTTTAGAACTCCATTTTTTCTATCAATTGAGTACAAGAAACTGCCCATTTACCGATTTCAACTACCCAATAACGTGGTCAGAAATTTGCAATTTCGCCAATTTCATGAAAATTAAATAATATGAGAATTTCAAAATAGGGTCCAGAAGGAACAATGCAGACATTCCTGGCTCTAAAATAACATTTTCTTTGTTCATCAGTCACGTCTCCAGGCCCCTCTGATATTGCTCTTGCTTTCTATTTTGAATTTTTATTCAAACAAAAAATAAAAGATTTTCTGTTATGCAGATTACTGCAATATTGTAATAATTGTATAAATAATGTCGACCCAGTCATGACTGCATATTAGAATGGCTAGTTGGACATTTATTGGAAAATGACATCATTTGTTTACTTTTGAACATCGGCAAAAATCAAACATTTCCCCTACTTTGAGCTCCATTTCAAGGTTCTTTTCATAGTAAAACCAATCAAAATCACCTCTATTTCTATAATGTGTTTTCCATTCTATCAAATGAGACCAAGAAACCGAGAATACAACCATAAATACTATACGAAAATAGACCACAAATTCAGCATTTTAATTAAAAAAAATGGTTGGAGTTTTTTTTTCTCATTATGCACTGTGTGCTGCAGGATTTTTTTATATGGTGCACATTGACCACACAGACCCATTCTCTCGCATGTGGGCCTACTAGCTTTCTCCTGCTTGATTTGAAGCTGCTAGAATTTATGAGTATATATACATCAAAAACGGTGGCTCGTAAGACATATATATACGACCAAAACAGTCAAAGGGTTAAATCTGAGTGTGTGAGGAGTACAGTACATTTAGTGGATGACAACATAAACTGTGTATCTTAAGGAAATGAATGCAAATGTAATACTTATTCTGCTTTTATTGAGAAAGAATTGCATATTGGGGTGTTGATCCCTGAGGTTGATTGCAAAGTGGAGAGATAATATTGTTATATTCTTGCTATAGATCCCTTGTATATCCACCCAGTGTACTGTACTGTTCAAGGTACATTGGGCGTGTTTCCTTACACGAGTTGTCTATGTTCACCCATCAGTAAAATGGTTACCTAGGTGTTAGTCGACTGGTGTGGGTCGCATCCTGGGACAAAATGGACCTAATTTGCTCGAAATGCTCTGCATAACAAGCAGCTTTCTATATAGTTGTATGTCATTGATGTCAGCTAGGCCTGTATACCTTGTACATATACGTACTTGTAAAAATAAAGATTTTTTTTTTTTATCGAACCGGCCATATTCCACCAAGGCAGGGTGACCTAAAAAGAAAAATGAAAGTCTCTCATATTAACTTTAGTACATACTGTTTACTGGAGAAAGGGTTACTAGCTCCTTCCTCCCAGCATTTTAGTCACCTCTTACAACATGCATGGCTTACAGAGGAAGAATTCTGTTCCACTTCCCCATGGGGAGAAATAAAGATATTACTATATTATACCTGGCTAATACAGCAGATTAGGTTCCACAACACTGCAAAAATCACCTTAAAGCAAATCACAGGCTTTTTTTCACTTGCCAATGCATATAACAGTTGAAACACATGTTTACACTGTCATTTATTAAGTGCACAATAGTGTTAGGCCTAAAAAAATGCAAAAGTAAAAATAATGAATAAAAAAATGCTACAGTACTGTATTGCTAACCTTAAAATATTTTCACCACCGTATTAGCAAAGTGCTCTGAAGCAAAGCGCTGCATATGGAAATACACTAATAGTTGAGATTCTACAAAGTCACTCAGAGTTAGTTTAACATGCTTATTATGCACCCCATACCCATCCTGTGGGTGGTAGTCAAAAGATTACAGAGGTACATAATGGGTCCAGGGACTGGACCCCAGTTATGATAGTTGAACTAGTTACAAAGGTAATGAACTCCAGGTAGATCTGGTCACCTATACATGGTTACAGTCATGAACAAATTACAAAGTAATGAGCCACTGACACGTCCACACTCGGTCACAATTGTAATGAGTTATAAATACAAATACGTATTAAGTGGGTCATACACCTACATGAGAGTGCACACACGAGCGCACACACACACACGAGGACGCACACACGAGCACACACACACACGAGTGCACACATGAATGTGCACACACGAGCAGAAGTGCGCACACACGAGGGCACACACATGAATGCGCACACACATGAGCGTGCACACACACACACACACAAAGACAGGATGTTCCAGAGATTGGACACAGTAACAAGGGGACACAGTTGGAAGTTGAAGACACAGATAAATCGCAGGGATGTTAGGAAGTATTTCTTCAGCCACAGAGTAGTCAGTAAGTGGAATAGTTTGGGAAGTGATGTAGTGGAGGCAGGATCCATACATAGTTTTAAGCAGAGGTATGATAAAGCTCACGGTTCAGGGTGAGTGACCTAGTAGCGACCAGTGAAGAGGCGGGGCCAGGAGCTCGGACTCGACCCCTGCAACCTCAACTAGGTGAGTACAACTAAGTGAAGTGAGTACACACGAGGGCACACGCACAGACACAGACACGTGCACACCAGCATACAAACATATGCACACACAAGTACGCACTCATGCAGAACAATAAGAAATTATATGGGCATGATAACATTAACTGGTAATGACATAAACTGTGTATCTTAAAGAAATGAATGCAAATGCAATACTTATTCTGCTTTTATTGAGAAAGAATTGCATATTGGGGTGTTGATCTGAGGTTGATTGCAAAGTGGAGAGATAATATTGATAATATTGCTATAGAGAGATAATATTGATAATATTGCTATAGATCCCTTGTACTCATCCAGAGACTCTTCATGACGGTGACCAGAACTTCCTCACTTCTTTCCCTTACCCCATTTGTATCCTAAAAAGAAGAATCCCATAAGGAAATACTAGCCATATTACTGTACTTGGATTTGTTGGATTATCCTGGGTTCATACATAATACACCTATCCCAAAGCACATCATTATGTTCATTATTTTCACTATTTTTGCTTATATCATAATTTATTAATTTCTGTTTCTGTTTATATTCTTCCTATTTATATTCTTCATATTTAATTTATTGTACCTTTTGGAGTATTTGTTGTTATAAAAATACAGTACATTAAACCATTTAAATGTTTGCTACCAGTTTACCTCAACCGGCTGGCTTAAATTTTATTGTATCTTTAGATTAACCCAAACCAGCTAAATACTAACAGACATAAGTCTCTTATTGACAGTCTCTAATGATAGACAAGTATGACCTCAGATTACTCAGTACCACACCTGTTACATTTAGCTATAGAGTAATTGTTTAATTACCTTCATGTGTTTATTGACTATTTGTTTCAGGTGAGTCTGGTTAAGAGAGAAGGTGAAATAGTCACTCAGCAGATCAGCCAAGACACAAGCACTGCTGCATTCTCGCCACCTGCCAAGAAAATTCTAATTTCAAAGAAGAAGTCAATGCCGGCAAGATTTGTTGCTCCACTTCAAGGTGTTATCACTAAGGAGGGTAGTCAAGTCACACTTGAATGTATCATTGATGGTAAGTCTTGTACTGTAGAAATATCAGTTTTTAACTGAAATTTGATTACTATATAGTACATAACAGAAAAGACCAATTTTGTAATATACACTCTGGTAACTTTGTTGATTTTCTTTAAAGGTTTCCCTGACCCATCAGTAACTTGGACCCATAATGGTGGACCACTGAGTGAAGATGCACAAGTGAAGACACACCTTAACAAGACTGCTGTGATCATTCCAAGAGTGAACCAGAGTCACTCTGGACACTACACCTGTCTGATAGAGAATGAAACTGGTTCAGCTCAGTGCACCTGTGATGTCATTGTTAAGAGTAAGTGCAATGTTGTGTGTGGTGATGGTGATAGTGATGTATTAATGGTTAGTGTAAATTATTTAGTGACTCAATCTTAAAACATTTTAGTCTCAACTTTTTTAACAATTTAATCCTCCCTCATTCTCTCCTCTTCCTTCTCTTCATTCCCTTCTCTTCCTTCTTATTTCCCCTTATCTCTCTTCTTCCCCATTTCTTCTTCTCCCCATTCCCTCTTCCTCCCCATTCCTTTCTCCACATTACATCTTCGTCCCCATTCCATCTTCGTCCCCATTCCCTCCACATTCCTTCATCCCCATTCCCTCCAAATTTCTTCCTCCCCATTCTCTCTTCCTCCTACTGTAGTTTTTGTCCATTAATTATTAACATGTTATTTACTGTACAATATTTATTGTATCTTTTAACAGAGACTCAGTTCCCACCTGTAATTTCAAAAAGACTGCAGCCTGCTGTGGTAGGCGTGAATGAACGTCTTCATTTAGAGATTGATGTTACTGGTACTCCCTCACCAGACGTGTCATGGACAAAGGATGGCCAGCCAATTAGAGCCAGTGACCATATTGCTTTGAAATCAGAGGGTACTAGGCACTTGTTAGTTATTCAACTAGGTGAGTTTCTTGGTTTGTTTTATTTTTGTACTTCTGTACATTCAAAGCATTTTGTAACAATGTTTCAATCATAGGCCTTCTGTAATACAGGATTTTCCAGTTGAGGAAATTCCTTTCCCCACCCAGCTTCTCATACCTCATAAATTGTTAAGCTTTTAATGTATCACAATCATCTCCCAAACTAAGACTCTAAAAAGGAAGCATGTGTACCATTATTCATTCAATAGCTGTGTTCCCATAGGTGTGCAAACTTCCCAGCTCAGTGCCCTTTAAACTGCAACATCTCCACCTGTCATTATTTTTGTTGGTAAAGTGTTAAATAGTGGTGTTTGGGGCAAAGAATGTTTAGGCAATAGAATACAGTAGTACAGTGCATCCAGAGGTAACGAAAGTAAAGATAACAGTAAATCATGAGAAAGAATCATGTGAATGTACTATAGACCAAAGAAGTGCAGCTGCTGCTTTCTGCCTTATTCTTGCAGATGTTTTTTTTAAATACTGTGTCTTTTGTTATTTTTCTATTTTTGTTGTTAGAACTGCATTAATTATTAAATAAAAAGCATTTTATTTTGATTAAGGTTCACTTTCAGTAGCAATGACGATTATCTAAAAATTCACAGCCGAGCCAGGGGACTCGGGTAGATATGGTGTTATTGCATCCAATCCTGCTGGTCGTGCAGAGTCTTTGGCTGATGTCATGGTAACTCAGCTAATTCTCGACAAAGCTCCTCCTACACACAGAATGATGTTCACAGATGTTACTGATGAAGCTAAGGTATGTGTCTAGTCTTGGTGTTTTATGACTTTACTTCCATTTTTAACAGATAATGTATAAGTAATCTGATATGAACATGGCAAAGATTTATTGTAGCTCATGAGCTTAACCAACAATTTATATGGCATTATTTTTTTTTATTTGGGGTTTCAACACATTTCCTAAACAGAGAGAGTGCTTAACAAAAAGTAAGCCTTTATATTATTCATAATTGTCTCTGCTCCATTATATGCATCATTCTGTAATTAACAGATCTAGTTCCCATGTACATTTTATTTTAGCTGTTATTCATTATGGAATTTTTGGAAGAGTATTGATATCATTATGTGCTCAGTAGTTTGCCATGTACTGTCAGTTTGCCTTTATGTGACTCTATTACTTTAATATGGATACACTATGGTGATGGATAATCTTTACTCACTTCACCTAATGCATAACTTTCTCACGTAGTGCAAACTGTAGGGATGAATTCTGGAATTATTACATAAAGAAAAGCATGAATGTTACACATAAATTCTTAAAGCACTTGAGGTGTTATCTTTATGCTTAAGTCCTTCCCTGACACCTCACCTGTTCACTATGCTGTATATCCTCTTTCTGCTTAGTTATACACATTGAGGCTTGATATATCTCCTGATAAGCAAAACATAGCCTTAAAATAAAGTATTCAGGACATTGTATAGTCATCCATTTATCCAGTTGATTGTTGGTACTTTAATACCTTTATACTCCCAAGGAGTGTGGCTTATGGTATTTCCATTGGGGCCTTACTGTTCTCTCCCATAGGATGTGACTCACAACAGTCAGCTAACTTACAGTTACTTAATTGCTGCTAGGTGACCGGGCAGCAGGTGAAAGATTTGCCTATATATCTAGACCTGCCCAAGATTGAACCTAGGTCCTTTAGTTGTGAGCTGTGAGAGATAAGAGATGGGCTCAAGTTTGCCTTTTTATCTTGCTACACAGTTATATGATATAAATAAAATAGGGTGCCATTGCCTTAAAAAAAATGATCTAAAACTATGGAAATTTAGAATCATTTTTTGTAATATGATTTTGTCTGCATCATATTTATATGAGAACCTAACTGTGATTAATGAGTCTGTTGATATGTTAACTGTTAACATGTTTCTTTCTTCCTTAGAGCTAAAGATTTATTAAAAATTATATGTTTTTTATAGCACTTTTGTGTCACTTTAAAGTATATTTTTTAATCTTCACTCACTTTACTTGGCTCTTCTTTCAAGATTATTGGGAAAATGAATATATTGTAATAAATGAATATACTGACTGTAGATTGCAGTTATGAAGTGAAAGATAAGATAAGATACTTTATTTCAGCTTGATACAATGTTTGCATAAAGGTGAATGACATTTAGGTGTATATGAAGAAAGCCCTTTAATATGCAGAGCATTTCAGGGAACCTTAAGACTAACTTAAAATTAATAAGGCAATGACGGTTTGAGTGGTTTTATACATGCAGTCTCTTATAATAATAATAATAATAATAATAATAATAATAATAATAATAATAATAATATCTTTATTAACTACAAGTACATGTACATGGTATACAGGCCTAGCTAACATTAATGACATACTACTTTAGAGCCACCAGGCCCGGTGGCCTGGTGGCTAAAGCTCCTGCTTCACACACAGAGGGCCCGGGTTCAATTACTGGTGGGTGGAAACATTTCGACACATTTCCTTACACCTGTTGTCCTGTTCACCTAGCAGCAAATAGGTACCTGGGTGTTAGTCGACTGGTGTGGGTCGCATCCTGGGGGACAAGATTGAGGACCCCAATGGAAATAAGCTAGACAGTCCTCGATGACGCACTGACTTTCTTGGGTTATCCTGGGTGGCTAACCCTCCGGGGTTAAAAATCCGAATGAAATCTTATCTTATCTTATCTTAGCTGCTTGTTATGCTGAGCATTTCGAGCAAATTAGGTCAGTTTTGTCCCAGAATACGACCCACACCAGTCAACTAACACCCAGGTACCCATTTTGATACTGATGGGTGAACAGGGGCAGCAGGTGTCTTATGGAAACACGTTTCTAATGTTTTCCAGCCATACTCTGGACCTCATTGTGTCAGCTGAGTGTGCTAGTGATCAAGCTACAGGACACCTTAGGTGTGTCTCACTGCAGAAGTCACATTTTCACTGGTCACCAAGAAACATTTTGAACATCCTGTGCTGTAGTACGTCTCGCAAATCAAGAGTTAAAATTTCCATAGAAGGTGCTTGCCACTTGGTGCCTTGAGTTAAGGGTCTGCATGATAAACATTCTTCAGCTGACACCATCCAGGAAATACATATGTAGGCCTGTAATCATTTAAATGCTGCATTACTGTTTTCAGTGATAAATAATTCAAGGGTTTTATTCAGTTAGTTCATATAATATCTTGGTAATATATTAAATGAACAGTGGAAACATACTGTACAACAAATTTGTGGTTTAATAGGTACAAAGTAAACATACTTTCTCACCTTCCTGCTTCTGTTCAGTTGTTCTTCTCACTTACTTCCACTTGCTGCACACCTCAGGTTACTTCCTGTCCACCTCTTGGGCTTTCCTCTAGAGTTGTTCAGTCTTTGTTCATTCTCATCACAGGGAAGATTTGCCAAGCACTATTTCTAACTCCAAATAAAATTTAAAGTTTTCTATTTGAAATACAGTAGACCTCCAGTTTTCGTAATTAATCTGTTCCAGAAGGTTGGCCTAAATCCGAAATGGCCTAAAACTGAAGTAATATTTCCCATAAGAAATAATGTAAATCCAATAAATCCGTTCCAGACACCCAAAAATATTAACAAAAAATACATTTTTTAAAGAATAATTATGTACAGTTTTACATACAGAAAACAATGAGAAATAAATATAAAGCACTAGATTTAATAATAAATGAACATTACATACCTTTATTGAAGACTCTTGTTGGCATATGAAAGAAGGCGAGGAGGGGAGAGGGAGGAGAGTTTATTGTTTGGAAGGGGAATCCCCCTCGATAAGGACTTCAGGTATCAAAGCCCTCTCTGGGGTTACTTCCCTTCTTTGTCTTTTACTGCCACTAGGACCAGCTTGAGAGTCACTGCACCCCTGTCGCACAAAAAATCTGTCCAGTGAGGTCTGTGTCTGATGTCTCTTTTAGATTTGCCTAATATGGGACAAGACATTGTCATTGAACATGTTGCAGACAAGGCTTGCAACAGCTTTCTTAGGGTGATATTTCTCTGCAAAACGTTGCACCTCACCCCACTTTGCACAAATGTCCTTAATCACTGAAGAAGGCACATTCTCCCCCCTCTCTTCCTCCTCTGAAGCAATATCCTCAGCTGCAGTCTATTGCTGTTCCAGTTGAAGGTGTTGCAGCTCTTCAGTGATTAGCTTTTCCCTTTGGTCGTCCACCAACTCTTCCACATTCTGGCCACTCACATCTGACCCCATGGACTTCCCCAGTGCCACAGTAGATTCCACAATAGGCATAGGGTCCTTAGGGTCAGCCTCAAACCCTTCAAAATCCTTCTCTCAGACACATTCTAGCCACAATTTTCTCCAAGCAGAATTCAAAGTCCTGGAAGTCACTCCCTGCCAAGCCTTATCTATAAGGTTTATGCAGTTGAGGATATTGAAGTGATCCCTCCAGAACTCTCTTAGGGTCAGTTCAGTGTCCAAGGTCACTTCAAAGCACCTTTGAAACATTGCTTTGGTGTACAGTTTTTTGAAGTTTGAATTGACCTACTGGTCCATGGACTGGATGAGAGGAGTGGTATTAGGGAGCAAAAACTTCACTGTGATGAAATTACACTCCTCAAACAATAGGTCTTCCAAGTCTGGAGGATGAACAGGAGCATTGTCCATTACCAGGAGGCACTTAAGTGGCAAATTACTTTTCAAGAGGGTATGTCTTCACACTCAGACCAAATACTTCATAGACCCAGTCAAGGAAAATTAGCCTTGTGACCCACGCCTTATTATTAGCTTTCCACATCACACACAATTTACTCATGATGACATTGTTTTTCTTGAACACTGTGGGATTTTCAGAGTGATACACCAGTAAAGGCTTTACTTTGAAATCCCCACTAGTGTTACCACAGAGCACAAGAGTTAGCCTATCCTTCATAGGCTTGTGTCCTGGCAGTGCCTTTTCCTCCTGCATGATGTAGGTCCTCTTTGGCATTTTCTTCCAAAAGAGGCCTGTTTTGTCACAATTAAACACTTGTTAGGGAGGAATCCTTTAGCCTCTACGTACCCTTGAATTCATCAGTGAATGCTTCGGCAGCACATTTGTCAGAACTTGCAGCCTCACCATGCCTTACAACACTGTGTATGCCACTTTGCTTCTTGAATCTCTTGAACCAGCCTTTGCTGGTCTTAAATTCATTAACAGCAAAACTCATTCCCAGCATTTTCTTTATGAGATCCACGTGCAACTGCCTTGCCTTCTCACATATTATCCCCTCCAAAACACTCTCTCCCACTAATTGTTTCTCATTGCTCCACACCAACAACAACTTCTCCACATCCTCGATTGTTTGAGACCTCTGTTTTGTTAGCATATGTACACCTTTCTCAACATCAGCTTCCTTGATTCTGCTTTCTTCAACAGGATGGAACTGATTGTTGATGTAGATTTCCCATACATCCTGGCAAGCTCCGCCACACATACACCACTTTCATATTTTGCTATAACTTCTCTCTTGAATTTTATCGTGTTTCTCACCTTCTTTACCAAAGGGCTGGCACTCTTAACTTTCTTTGGCCCCCATGGTGGCTTATTTCACAGTCAGTAAACAATAAACAGGCACAAAAACAACGAAGTAAGCACAAAAAACAATGGAAGAAAGCACGGAATACTCCTTACTGGACGAGAGAGAGAGACTGACTGTGATACGCATGAGGTAGTGCATCGGGCAGCTGGGTGGATGCATCTCATACCAACTTACTCCCTGTTCAGAACATCCACACTTACTACTGTGCAATCTATATCT